CCCCAGAGTCTTAGTGCAGTTTTAATAACTTCAGACGTTTAAATGTACAAACCTACAAAACATCAGTTGAATATTTACTTATTTAAATTTCTTTTCCACTTAGTTTCCTGACAGTCAAGTGCTAGATTTTTCATTTTAATTCTCTGCATGTGCCAGTGTCTGGATGGACAGGCAGGCAAAGGAGCCCTTACCTGGGTTAATTGACCTCTCTTGAGGTCAGTGGCCTGATTGTCACCTCCCTTGAGGTCACATGTGCACCAAATCCAGTTCTTTAGAACATGGTGAGGCTGGAATCACCAGTGTTACCTTTTCTTGTTGCTGACCAACAGTCGATAAAAGGTTTTTCGAAGTTTGAAAACCAACTAGAGCCATGTATCGCACTGGGGGGGTATTGTAAGAATCTGAGTAAGAAATATCAAGGTATTTTAAATGTAAATAACCTTTCAAATGTCATTTTTTTGTACATTTGTAGTATCTATACTCCTAAAGTTATTAAAGCTTCAAACTTCACCAAGACTTTGGTAGCCCATTTTTTTTTTTTTCCACAATACTAATAAGGCCTTCTCATTTGCTTTCCTGACCCAGCAATGGGTCACGACCACAGCTTTTTAAAAATCAGACTTCCAGGCCGGGCGTGGTGGCTCACACCTGTAATCCCAGCACTTTGGGAGGCCGAGACGGGCGGATCACCTGAGGTCGGGAGTTCAAGACCAGCCTGACCAACACGGAGAAACCCCATCTCTACTAAAAACACAAAAATTAACTGGGTGTGGTGGCGCTTGCCTGTAGTCCCAGCTACTCGGGAGGCTGAAGCTGGAGAATTGCTTGAACCCGGGAGGTGGAGGTTGCAGTGAGCCAAGATTGCGTCATTGCGCTCCAACCTGGGCAGCAAGAGCGAAACTCCATCTCAAAAAAGAAAAAAAAAAATCAGACTTCCAAAGTGAAGTACAGTTTCGTGTGTGTGTGTGTGTGTGTGTGTGAGACAGGGTCTCATTCTTGCCCAGGCTGGAGTGCAGTGGCACCCCCATGGCTTACTACAGCCTCAACCTCTTAGGCCCCAGCGACCCTCCTGCCTTGGCCTCTCAAAGTGCTGTGATTACAGGTGTGAGCCCCTGTGCCTGGCCCAAAATCTAAATGTATACCAGCATCTCTCTGGTCAGGAGGGCTTGGGCACATCAGCTGATACCGGGTCCTCTGGGGATACGGATCTGCCCCGGCTCATGGACTCCTCGCCCTGGAGTGCAATTATTTGTTTGTCTTTCCTACTGGACTACGAGCTCCATAAGGCAGGGACTGTGCTCATTGTTGCTGTTGTTTATCATTTAATCTTTGTGTCCCTTGCACATAATAGGAGAACTGGCCTTCTGTCTATTCTTGATATTGGGCTTATTTCTGGGGCCCTGCCCTGAATAGGTCAGTGGCTGTTTGTCAGTCATTAAAGAAAGACATCAACCATGAGAAAAACCAACTGTTTTTCTGTTCATGCACGTAACACTCCACAGAACCCTTCACTTCTGATACGGAATATGCAGGCAGCCTCACCCCTACAAGCAGCGCATTCTCCAGCCACCCAGATGCCAAGTGTGTGTCCTCCACTTCAACCCTGACCCTAACTCCCCGGAATCAGGGCAGACCCCACAGGTCAGGGCCCAGTCCCACAGACTGCCCCCCACTTCAGGGGCCCATCACACGTATCAGGTCCCCTCGTTCCTCACACTTTGGTCCTACTTGGGTACAACTCAGGGGTTCCATGAACCCCTCCTCAAGTTCAGTACTTGCTATGGCGTCCCACAGAGCTCAGGGAAACACTTACGTTAACTGGTTTATTAGAAAGGAAATGATAAAGGCTACAGATGAACAGCCAGATGGAGGTACCTAAGTAGAGTGAGGTCCAGTAGGTCCTGGATGCAGCAGCTTCTGTCCCCATGGAGTTGGGGTATGCCACTCTCTGTGCACGGGAATGCATTCAGCAGCCTGGAAGCTCTCCAAACCCTATAGGGATGTTGACGGAGGCCTCATCACATAGGCGTCATTGATTCTTAACTCAGTCTCCAGCTCCTCTCTAGTCTCTGGAGGAAGCTGGGTGGGGGCGGGGCTGAAAGTTCCAAGCTTCTCATTGCAGCTTGATCTGTCTGGTGATCAGCCCACCCAGGAGCCCACCCGGAGTCACCTCATTAGAACAAAAGACACTCCTATCACCCAGGAAATTCCAACGGATTTAGGAGCTCTGTGCCAGGGACTGAGATCAAAACCAAATGTTAGAACAAAACATGCTCCTAGCACCCCTGTAACTTAGGAAATTCAAGGGATTTAGGAGCTCAGTGTCAGGGCTGGGCATGGTGGCATGCACCTGTGATCCCACTCCAGAGGCAGAGGCAGGAGGATCGCTTGAGCCCTGGAGGTCGAGACTGCAGTAAGCTGTGATTGCACCACTGCACTCCAGTCTGGGTGACAGAGCAAGACCCTGTCTCAAAAGACAAACAGACAAAATAAAAACTGTGTCAAGAACTGGGGGCAGAAATATATATATTTAGGATGTTACGGTCGTTCTTTCTACTTTTTTTTTTTCCAAGTGATCCTTCTGCCTCAGCCTCCTGAATAGGTGGGATCACAGGGGCGTGCCACCTATGCACGGCTAATTTTTAAATTTTTAGTAGAGGCGAGGTGTGTACTATGTTACCAGGCTGGTCTCGAACTTCTGGGCTTAAGCCGCCCTCCCACCTCAGCCTCCCAAAGTGCTGAGATTGCAGGCATGAGCCCCCACACCTGGCCTCTTACTTTTTCTTTTTTTTTCCCTCTTTTTTAGAATATATAAGAAAATAAAAAATGGGGTCTTTGGATCTCACTGTCCAAAGATGCCATTAGCATTTAAAAAATATATTCAGTCATTCATGCATATTAATGGAAAGTCCAAATTATACTGAAATGTGTAAGATGGAAAGGAAAAGCTGCCCCCCAGTCTCCTCTCCCGAGAGGTAGCCACTGCTGACGGTTTCTCGTGGGCCCTTCCAGAAAACAAACCTCTTCGCTGCATTTTCAAGCACATGCATCCCCTTCCACTTCGCCACTTACAGCAAGATGACTATGCTGCTCACGTGGGGCTGCTGCTTGCATTTTTCCCTCAGTGTATCTTGATGCACTTTTCACATCAGTACCTATCAACGCCTCCTTTTTTCTTCTTTTATTAAGATGGAGTCTTGCTGTGTCACCCAGACTGGAGTGCAGTGGCACGATCTCGGCTCACTGCAACCTCTGCCTCCTGGATTTAAGTGATTCTCCTGCCTCAACCTCCCGAGTAGCTGGAGTTAAAGGCACCTGCCACAATACCTGGCTAATTTTTTTGTGTTTTCAGTAGAAACAGGGTTTTGCCATGTTGGCCAGGCTGGTCTCGAACTCCCAACCTCAGGTGATCCACCCACCTTGGCCTCCCAAAGTTCTGGGATTACAGGCGTGAACCACTGTGCCCAGCCCCCAATTCTGTCTTTTCAACTGCACGCTGTCAGAGTCATTATATAAAAATCCTGATGGACATTTCTCCAGTCTGGAGCAGATGCCTAGAAGTGAGTTTGCTGTGTCAAATGGAGTGGCTCCTCTTCCTGCCCTCTGAAGAGGCCTGCCTATCCCAACCTTAGCCACAAAGATACTTTGCTGTGCAAAATTTGGGAAATATCAGGACACCCAAGCACCACTTCGCCATAGATAGCACTGAGTCTCTGTGTACAAACTGCGAAACGGGGAAGAGACCCTGTCACCTGTGCAGCTCCCCCCAGGTGGCATTTTGTGTAGTCAAGAGAGTGGCACAGTGGCTCACTCCTGTAATCCCAACACTTTGGGAGACCGAGGCAGGTGAATCACCTGAGGTCAGGGGTTCGAGACCAGCCTGGCAAACATGGCGACACGCCATCTCTACTAAAAACACAAAAAAATTAGCAGGGCGTGGGTGGCGGGTGCCCATAATCCCAGCTACTTGGGAGGCTGAAGCAGGAGAATCGCTTAAACCCAGGAGGCAGAGGTTGCAGTGAGCTGAGATCGCGCCACTGCACGCTAGCCTGGGCAACAAGAGCCAAAACTCTGTCTCAAAAAAAAAACTCAGAAAAAAACAAAAAACAAACAAAAAGTCACTCAGAGGAGCTCAAGGTCCCTCTGGGTTTGCCACTTCCGACCCGCCATGGGGCTTGTAAAACCTTTGCCTCCCAGCACAGCTCCATGTTTTGTCAGGAGCCTCCCCGTGAGCTGCCAGCGCTGGCTGGGCTCCATGGATCAGCTGGGGCTACCCATTCATTCATTTCCATATCTACCCACTGGGCTTCCAAGTTGAAGTTCCTGGGGCCCCGTGTCCCCTCCCCACGACCTTCAATCCCACAGAGCCCATGGGCACGGCACGTCGCTCTCATCCTCTGACATTCCTGCATGCTGAAGTCACTTCTTCCTTCCACCAAGGCCATCCCGGGCCATTCCTCCGATCATCTGTTTATTGTGTCTCTGTGTGGGAGAGAACTGGCTGAAGAGGTGGGGCTCCAGTTTTGGAACATGGACACTGAGAGAGATGGGGATGGAAAACAACATAGAAGGAAGCAAAGGCAGAGGCTGCGATGGCCATGATGCCTGGCCCTGGTCCCAGATACCCCAGCCAGCTTTTCTCTCGCACCCTTTGTCTACTCACCGCAGCGACACAGTGGGAGTCCCGGGCCCACTTCTCCAAATGGCACACAGATGCCTCAAAAGGCACCCACCTGGGAAAGGCCAAGGCCGAGGGCTTGGGGTCACAGTCAAGAACACGCCTCAGCTCAGCATTTGTGAGCCGAGTCACCTTGGTCCATCGTTTGTGCGCAGCCCCCACCTGCTGGTTGACCATGACCACAGGGCAGGCACTGCTGCAGGGCATGGACAGGCTGGACCTTCGAGGCCCTCGTCTGTCTCCCCTACCTTCTGCCCCCTCCCCCACCACTTCCCATCACCCAGTCTGTGCCAAGGGCACTGACCCTGTCCTTGTCTTGCAGAAAGAGGAGCAGGACTTGGATGGTGAGACGGGGCCATCATCGGCAGGGCCTGAGGAGGACGACGGTGAGTGGGACCTCTGTGCTCATGAGGGGGCCCGACCATGTCGGGGGTGGCCTGTGCCCTGCTGGGGATCCCAGGAGCTGGGGTTCAAGTGCCAGGGGGAGGGATGGGGTGGGACAGTGGCCTGAGTGGGGCACTGAGAGGTGGAGTTGCACCATGGATGTCCTGCCCTGGCCTGCCTGGACTTTGGGGCCCCCTCACACTCCCTTGGACTTTGGGGTTTGGCTTTCCCATCCCAGGGGCCCCTCTTGAGAACACACTACGTGCCCTGCCCGGCTCTGTCCCGCGCTGCCTCCTAACTCCCCTCTTGTGACCACACTGTACATTTCACGATTCTCTCCAAACATCTCTGACCTATTTTACTGAGACGAAAACCACTCACACGGCCTCCCCCGTGCCTTCTTCGTAATGAAGGCCCCGGGAGGGGACGCGCCTGCTTTCTGAGCAGCTCTGGCTGACTGGCCACAGGCCTCAGCCATGAGACTGAGAGGAGAAAGGGAGTGGCCGAGAACAGGGGAGACACAGCCAGATCTGACCCGGCCAGGACAGAGACAGAACAAAACGCGGAGTGGCTTCTGCTGGGTCTGTCCGCTGATTTCTCTAGAAAAGAAAGCGGAGGCAGACATGCAAGATGTCAGCGTTTGTTGCCTCTGTATGGCAAGCACAGGGAGGATTAGTGCTTTCTGCATTTTTGTATGTTTGAAATATTTCATAATTTTAAAAAAGCAAGACTGTTGCCGTGACCTTAAGTCGGCTGCTGGCAGGAGCAGTGGAAAGAGAGAGTTTCAGGAATGCAGGAACCAGCTCCTGCGGGCAGGCTGGGCTGGGGTGCAGAGCTTCCCCTGAGGCCGTGCCTTGGTTTCATCAGCACAGCCTGGAGCAGGAGGGGAGACTGAAGCTTGGGTGCAGGCGGGGACATTAGTCCCTTACCAGGAAGTACCCTTGCTCCCTGCTCTTGGGGATGGGGGACTCACTGCAGCCGTGGCCCTGGCATCTGTCCCTGCCACGTGGCCTGAGACAGCTGAAGGGATGCAGGGATCCTGTTAGTGACTTGGGGACACGGGAGGGAGGCTCACAGACCCCTCTCCCTGGTGTAGCTGCCAGAGGGCCCAGCCCCCCAGGGCTGTCACCAGCCTCCCTCCTTATCTGCGCTGCTGCGCCTGCACATCCCCCACCCCCAGCGCCTCCTGCCACCTTAGCCTCCTGCCATCTCTAGCTAGGCAGGGAAAGGAAAGGTTTATGGCTCCAGCTGTTGGAAGACTGTGTGAGCAGCCCCCAGCCCCTCTGCAGTACGAGGCAGCCTCAGAGGCTAATTGATTAGTGTCGCTAAAATGACTTGCCTGAGCGACTCGTGGATTCACAGGAGACTGGAGGAAGAAACCTCCCCCGTCCCTCAGAGGCTGTCACATTGAACCCTCCTGGCCTAGGAAAATTGGATGTGCTGCCTGGTGCACTGCCTGGGATTGAGTGAAATCCTTTTCAAGCCGTTTGTTCTGTCTGGCTCAGAAAACAAAACTAATCAGACTTGCTCCATAAATTGAAACCTAAGACTGGGGCCAGGCTGGCAGGATTTTGTATGTTTTCTTTTTGGGAGGGGTGTTGGGGGGATACTGGAGTCTCACTCTGTTGCCCAGGCTGGAGTGCAATGGCACGATCTTGGCTCACTGCAACCTCCGCCTCCGAGGTTCAAGCTGTTCTCCTGCCTCAGCCTCCTGAGTGGCTGGGATTACAGGCATGCGCCACCACGCCCAGCTAATTTTTGTATTTTTAAAAGAGACAGGGTTTCACCATGTTGCCCAGGCTGGTCTTGAATTCCTGGCCTCAAGTGATCCACCTGCCTCGGCCTCCCAAAGTGCTGGGATTACAGGCGTGAGCCAGTGCACCCAGCCAGATGTTTGGGTTCTGAATTCACATCTAGAACCTTCTTCCTCTCACCCTGAGAGCCCTTCGTCTCCCCATCGGTCTGCATCAGCCTATCTGGTAGCATGAGGGCTGCAAGCTAGAGGGGAGGGGCCTGGCTTTTCAGGCTGTTGGACAGGATGTGGAGGGACAGAGAGGGCAGCACTTCCACAATAGCAGCTGAGGAGCTCTCTACACCTCCCTCACTGGGTCCTTTAGTTAGTGGAGGTCGATAAGAGGCCAGCCAGCTCTGCCCGATACTTGTGGATTCAGGAACCAAGAGGTTGCTCCCCCACGAGGCTTTTCCCTCTGGGAGGTCAGCTTTTCTCTCCTCACCATGGCTCATGCGCCCGGAGCCTGTGTCCACTCCAGGCCACAGGTCCTGGCTTCCTCTGTGCCCACCACCTACCTGTCCATGTGCCCTCTTCAGGCCTCAAGATCTGCCTCTTTTTTGCAGTCAGTGATGGGGTGTCTGCCCTCGGGGACTGGCAAATCAGGCTCTGCCTCTTCAGCAGTACACAAGTCAAACCCGCCGTGGCAAATCCCGCATCCCTGGCCTGGCCACTGTGGGCTGCCTGAATGCGTGTTTTCTGATTTCCAATAGCCACAGGGGTTGGGGGGACGACACAAGCCTCCCCACACCCAGGCAAGCGCGGTGTGTGTTCCGAGATGAGCTGTGCTCTGCTTGCCGGAGCTGTTGCCTGTGAGCTCAGTATCCGAGAGGACCCGCTGGGCAGGGCCAGGGCAGACAGAGCACTGCAGATGCTGGGAGGGACGCGGTGTCTGGAGACAGCCGTGGACCAGGAGCGGGACCGCTTTCTCTCTGGCTGTCTCGTTGTAGGATTTAAGGGAAAGCTATGGAATGAGAGGGGGTATAGGCGCTGGGGTGAGAAGATGCTCTGACAGCCGGATGCGGCCTCTGCCTGAGGTCTTCCTTTTTAAACCTAGGGAAAGGGGGCCGGGGTTTGTGGGGGCCCAGCCTCTACAGCACTCCCTGGCACTGACCGGGTCCCCTCTCCGCAGGAGAAGGCTTCTCCTTCAAATACAGCCCCGGGAAGCTGAGGGGAAACCAGTACAAGAAGATGATGACCAAAGAGGAGCTGGAGGAGGAGCAGAGGTAGGCTGCAGCCCCTTTGCTGGTGCCTGGCGGGCTCTTAGGGGAGGGGGGTGCTCCTCTGAGCCCTTCATGTTCTGCCTCTTGGCAGAAGGGCGCAGAAAGGAGGTGGGGCTCCTACAAACTCTGCCCAACCACTGCCCCACCTTCCCAGTTTAGTTCTTTCCTGCCCTGGTCAGCCAGGCTCGTGCGCCCCGGAACCCCTGCCTGGCACTGACCAGGAGGTCACTGGTGATGGGGGACACAGAGCCCATTTACTGAACCCCCCACCCCCTCCACACCGCACTGCTCCCGTCTAAAGAAATCAGATGCCGGGAAAGAGCCTGGAGCAGACCTGGCTGCCACTCACACACGGAGTCCCCAGCAGAGCTGATTTCTTGATTTCTCCTTCGGGACACAGCGGGTTCTTGGTGCCCCTCATTCAGCGGCCTCCCAGGCTGGGGCCTGCAGCAGCGCCTTGTCGCTCCGGGCGGTGCAGCTGTGGCTTCTCGTTGTTGGAACTGGCTCCCCCTTCCCATCTGGACACCCCCTGCACACCCACTGGGCTCCCCTCCACATTTTCCCTCCACTCCATCCTGCCGGGTGGGGAAGGGGTGCACTGGGTGCGGTGGGACAGCTGGGGAGGCCTCGGCAGACGGACAGGCATTTGCAGAGAGACAGTTGTTTGCACCAGGCCCAGCAGGCTCCTGGTGCTCACCCACATTGCTGCCCTTCTGCAGCGTGGCCTGGAGTCCTAGGTGGTAGCTGTGCCACTTTCCAAGCCTGGTGACCCAGAGCAGCTCGTGGGAGTCACCCCCTACTTGTCAGCAGAAGCCAGCAGTCTAGGGTCTGAGCGGAAGGGGAGGTTTATGATTTTGGAATCAGAACTCAACCGCCCTTTCATGACTGCGTGCGAGGCCACCCACCAGGCAGCCCTCTAATCTCAGAGCTGCTCTGCTGGTGACAGGCCCTGTCTCCCCTCCTGGTGCTGGCATCAGCTCTCTCGACCCTCAGCAGGAAGGCTCTTCACCCTGGCTGGGTGGGGGGCGGGCAGTGTAAGCACAGCCAGGAGGAAGAGCCCTGGCAGGAGCCCCAAGTCCTCAGGTGCTGAGGATGCTGCCTCTTGGCATGACCAGGTTTGCTGCATTTATATTTCAGGATTGAGCTGACCTCTGACCTCACTTCCCTGTAGCAAGTTCCTTAGGTCCTGAGCCACAAATATTCTTGCAAATCCTTTTGGTAAGGACACTGATTTCTTAGACTAGTGGCGCTCCCCTCCTACTGCGTGCTAACGTGCCCCCAACACAACTGACGCGGCCTCAACCTCCCCTCCTCCATCGCCTTCATAACCGATTAATACATTTCCCACCTGAGCCCTTCTCATTCTTCTCAAGCACGAGGAATCACTGGCAGAAAAGGCCCCGTCTGGGGGCAGAGGTTCCTGGAGGGGAGTTAAGTCCCTGAGTTCCTAGAGGCGGCCTAATGGGCCAGTGGGTTGGGGTGCTAGTGCCCCCTTGCAAGGCTGGGAGAACTGTCACCCTAGGACCTCAGGCTTCGGGAATGTGGATGTCGCCACCCTGCAGCCTTGGGTCTCACCCTGAGAAGGTGAGGCAGCTGCTGCACAGTGCACAGCAGATATCCTGACAGCGGTCCATGCTTCCAAGCTGTGAGACAGGCAGGTTCTTATGATCAGGGCAAGGATTAGCAGACGACAGCCAGGCCACATCTGATCCCCCACCTGCCTGTGTCACCCCAGCGTGGCAGGAACAGCAACACCCATTTTCCTGTGGTCTGTGCCCCTTTGTGCCACAGTGGCCGAGGTGAGTCACTGCAGCAGAGACCACACACTCCCCCAAATCGAAATAGTATCTGGCTCCTCGCAGAAAAAGGTTGCAGTCCTTGGACAGAGGCTAGAGGGGGCTGGACACAACTGCCAGCCCTTAAAAGTCCCTGGGGACAGAGGCTGCTCAGGCAGATGGATCTGGAGGGCCTCTTAGAACAAGAAAGACCAGGCCTCAGGCTAGGGGTGAAACTGCCACTACCACCCACGTCCAGAGCTGGGACCTTGGCAGTGGGGAGGGAAAATCCCTTCCCCTTATTTTCAGAGAGTAGACCCTGTGCTGCCCATCCCTCCCCACTGGATCTTCGGAGGTCTCTAGACCACCAACCCACACTTGGCTGTTCCATGGGATCGAGACTGTGCCTGAGGTGCTACTCCTGGGACGAGGGAAGACTCCTTGACTCCTCTGCACGCTGCAGTTACCACTTTGTGCCCTGAATTGAGAAGGAGGGGCCGGAGGACTTCTTGGGGCAGGACTGGAGTTCACGTTCATTCCCATCACTGCCCAGCCCGCATGCTCCCTGTGGCTCCCAGGCATGCTGGTGGCATCTGCTTGCTCCCCCACACCTCTGCCCCCTGCATGTGGTCGCCCCTCGCAGCACTGCGTGGGGTCCCCACGGCTCCACACCACGCTGTCCTCACACGGTGATGCTTGGGGTTGCAGAGGCTGGTCAGTTTGGCTTTGGCTTTTCATCTTCAGCATGGTGGTTCTCATGGGGATGGGGAGCGCTGGCAGCTGTGAAGACAGTTCCGGTCCCAGCCGAGTCCGGGGAACCGCCCTAGAATCATCAGTATGAAAAATAACATGCCTGTTATTATCAAACCACTAAAACCACAGGCCAGCTAGCAGGGTGCTGTCCCTCCACCTGTCAGGTTCTGCCCTCCCAGAGGCCCTCCGTGCCTCTGATGCCTTTCCCAGCTCTCAGGGTCCACAGTCGAGTTGCAGCTAAAAGCTGCATGGCCCCTGACTTTACTGACTCAGCCAACAGATCGCATCTAGAACCTGAAGCTTTAGTGGTTGCCGGTTCCAACACTCCCCAGGAGCCTTAATTCACAGGCTTTCATGACAATTAGGAAGTGGGACTGGAAGCAGGAGGTCCCAAATTAGTTCCACCACATGCTGAAGTGGGCAGTCTCATCCTTGAACTACTCACAGATCAAATTCCTTCCGCCTGGGGCCAGAAAGCAGTCAGGTCTGTAAATCCAGAGGCGGCTGCTGCTTAAGATCCCTCTTGCCGCGTCTGCCGGCCTCCTCAGCTCTCCCCTCGGGCCGGAGGTTCACACACTTCATGCCTCTGGTGGCGTCCCTGGGTTCTGCTGAAGCTGATGTGGGAGGTGCCACCTCCAGTTTCACAGTGTGGCTAGGACAGTGGGCTTGCAGGCTGGTGACAGCTCCCCTGAGCAAGAGGCCTCCTCCTCCTCCTCCCCCAGAGCTAGGGAAGCTGGCAGGGCTTGGCTGGCTTCGCAGCTTGGCAGGAGAGAGAAAAGGCACGGCTGTCAGCTCCTCTCCATCACTTCTTCCCACCTTCTGGTCTCAGAGGGAAAAGGAACCCAGGCTGTAGACTATACTCTGATAGATCAGGACCCACCCCTCCATTTGAGGTCTGCAGGGCTGTTTTGACTCCTCTGGAAATGGACATAACTCTAGAGGAAGGTGATAGTGTGATAAAACAGGGAAGGAGAGGAGGCGGCCAAGGAACCACAGCTGTGGGGTAGTTCTGGTTCTTCTATCTGATGTATGCAAGAAACGACAGAAACAATAGACCGGACAGTGTGAATTTCCAGCTCAGGCTGGAAATGCGTGCTGTGACCACCAGGAGAGGGCGCCAGAGGGACAAGCTCAGACCTGCTGCTTTCTCAGTGGTCTCAGGGCTGGCGATGTGTCTTGGTTCATAAAAGATGGGCACACTGTTGGCTCCATCTGGAAGCTTGCATCCTAGGATGCCAATATCCCCCGAGGGGACAAAACTCAGCCAGCGGGAATGGGAAATTATCTAGGGTGATAGGAATATTGTCAGCACAGCCACACAACCCAAGATCAGAAAGGCCCTTGGCAACTCAACTGCTCCAGTTCCTTCCTTAAGTACCCTGCAGAGGCTGAACAGGTCTGTGGGCTGCAAGGTTCTGTGCGGGGTCAAGGGGAGCTCTGCGAGCTCTGGCCAGCTTTGCGGCACAGACCGTCTTGCCGCAAGCGATGAGAAGCAAATCAGCAGTGGTTTGAGACACCAGAGTCTAGCGCAGCTTCTGCAATTCCAAACATTCTCCTTCCTCGACCCCATTTCCCCCTTTCCTCGCCCATGGTGCAGGATGGAATGAGTAAAATAAATTATCTTTTTCTCCCCATTTCTCTTTACAGAACTGAAGAATAACGAAGTTATCCTTAGCGTCCTCCTAAAGGCTTTTCCTTTTGGCATCTTAAAAGCTTGAGAGATAAAATGGAAACCCCAGAGAGGAGTCTGGCAGGCTCCCAGGGTGCATGCTGCCTTCGTAAATCTGCTGAGCTCTAGACCCTCAATCAGGACTTGTCCCTTGGCTAGCAGGATCCTGGGAACACCTTTGGCCCTGCCCTGTAGCGAGATGTTCATGTCCATTTCTGTGGGTCACTTTGTTAAGCTGAAGCGTTTTAAGAGTTTGAGCTCAGACCCTGGACTGGGATTTTTCTTACCACTCAAACTTGCTATCCACACACCCTGCACACCTTAGATAAAACAAACATTTAAAAAGCAGAGTTCACTTTCACTCCAGTGCCCCCATTTTGTCCTCACTGAAGCCAAACCACAAAAGACTTTGAGGAATGAGAGACAAATGAGGTAGAGCTCACCTGTGCTCACCAGCTCGGTCAGAGTGGTCAGCCGACCCCTTTCCCTGGGAACCCCACCTCTCTCTCTGGCTAGCATGGTTGTCGGGGGTGAGATGCCATATGGATTAGAAGGCAGCAAAGAACCAGTACCAGGAATTGACTTGACCATTCCCCTTACTTTTCATCTAGAGAAATCTTGGATTCAGCCCATTTATTGCTAAGACACCTTTTCACTGACGTTCTTACCAGCTCAGCCAAATCTCCACTCTGCTATAGCAGAAGCAATAATGTTGCTTTAAAAAGATTTCTTGACTATGCCTTTTCTTAGAAAGGTTGATAGATTCGTTGGAACTTCAGATCATCAGATCAGTCTCAGATTCGTTTCTTGGAATTTTATATTTGACAGTATTTATACTATACCAAACTCATTTGCAGTTCTTAGGTTTGTTGGTTAAAACATTTTTTTAAAGCAGTAAGTTTATAGAAAATGTTTTCATTTAATGGAAGGCTGGGGAATGTCCAGCATCAGCCCCTATGGCATGCATTCCCAGTGGCTTTCTCCATCTCAGCCTGAAACCTTTGGTTCAGGGCTTAGGGGAGAACAGGCCACATGGCAACAGCCACATAGTCATTGCCTTCAACACAGAGCCACGGGGTGAATGGATGTACTTCTGTGTCCCCAAACAGCAATAGTCATGCCCTTGTCCAGGCTGGGATCTAATTGATACAATAGGTCGTTGACTCCCTCCCAGTAGAGCTATCTAGGTTTGTCTGGAAAATTTCCCACCATGGCTTATAGGTACCACACCTCATGTACTCCTGATGGCTTGGATCTCTGTATTCAGCCTTTGTTCAGTCCAATAAACTTTGAGTAGATGATCTCAATTACTGTGTGTTTTTTCAGTTTGCTTTGTTTAAAAAAAAAAAAAAAAAACCCTTTTGAACCCATTAAAATTTGACCTCTCTTTCATTTTGATGCCTCGTACTCTGCAGCAGAGGACAAAGCCATCCATCCACCCTGCTAAAAATACGCAGTCACCACAGCTGTCTGAACCACGTGACATGATCTGTGTTCACTCAGGGACATGTGGATTGTGCTTGCATCACAGAGCTCAGCACACCCTTTCTGTTCACAGGAATTCCTCTTTCTTCTTTTCTTGAGACAGGGCCTCCGTCTGTCGCCCAAGCTGGAATGCAGTGGTGCAGTCACAGAGCTCACTGTGGCCTTGACCTCCTGGGCTTAAGTGATCCTCCCGTCTCAGCCTCCCAGGTAGCTGGGACTACAGGTGCTCACCACCACGCCTGGCTAATTGTTTTATAGAGACAGGGTCTGACTATGTTGCCCAGGCTGGTCTCAAACTCCTGGGCTCAAGTGATCTTCCTATCTTGGCCTTCTAAAGTGCCAGGATTACAGGCATGAGCCACTGCACCTGACCCTCTTCCTTACAGGAGGCACAAAGCACACATCAGGCCGGGCGCGGTGGCTCAAGCCTGTAATCCCAGCACTTTGGGAGGCCGAGATGGGCAGATCACGAGGTCAGGAGATCGAGACCATCCTGGCTGACACGGTGAAACCCCGTCTCTACTAAAAAATACAAAAAACTAGCCGGGCGAGGTGGCGGGCGCCTGTAGTCCCAGCTACTCTGGAGGCTGAGGCAGGAGAATGGCGTGAACCCGGGAGGCGGAGCTTGCAATGAGCCAAGATCACGCCACTGCACTCTAGCCTGGGCGGCAGAGCAAGACTCTGTCTCAAAAAAAAAAAAAAAAAAAAAAAAAAACACACATCATAGGCTGCTGCTTCTCAGACAGGGGAACCAACTGTAGACGCAACTTTCCCAGAGGACAAGGGAGGCTGGGAAGTGGGGCTTCAGTATTTCAACTGCTAGATGCTGCTCTAGACAGAAACCTCTGCAGGATGGAAGACGCACGGTGAGGAGAGGAGGGAAGGGTGAACCAGAAGGAATATGGTAGCAAAAGTATGGGAGCGAATGTGGAGACCACCCCTCCAGGCAGCGTTGGGGATGCCAGTGGCCCAGGGCTATGCTGAGGTCCTGCAGTTGCAGAGCCTGTACCGTGCGTACAGCCGACCCAGCTGCAGGGAGGGGCTGAGAGGCCCGATGCTGCGATGTGGTTTGCGTTCTCTGAAGGCACTGAGCCCGTGGTGTGGTGTGGTGTGGAGGGCAGGAACTGCAGAAACCAGAAGAGTGAGAGGCAGCCAACATGCAGTGCCCAGCTGGGCTGAGGAGCACAGGGCACCAGAGCAGAACGAACAACAAACATACGGCTCCCTGGGTTCGGCAGCCGCCTCGCCCCACCTCAGGTGTTTGTGCTGCAGGAGTTGTCCTGTGCTGGTCAGATGGTGTAGCTGAGCCTCATAAAGATAACAAGACATTGCTCCCAGCACAAACATTTAGGCCAGTCTTCCTCCACACCCATCCCTTGGTAAAAGGGGCAGGGCCGCCGCCTGCCATAGGGTGTCCTTGTGCAGATTAGGAAAAAGCACCCCCCTTTCTCTGGGCAGTGAAACCCCACAGGCTGCCCTCCTCGCTCCTTTGCCAAGCACTGTCTTGCACACATCTATATGCTCCCCGATTTCCCAGCTGATGTTTTTTCTTTCTCCACTTTCGGCTCATTCCTCTCAAAGAAGGCTGTTTCTAACCTACTTCTTCATAGTACTACCTCAAGCCGTTTCATGGAGCGGCTTCTTCCTCATTACTTCACTGTGGGATGTGCAGTCAACAATCAAATGAGGCCCAAAGGGAAACTGAGGCATAGAGCACCTAAGTGATACCTGGGGTCCCCAAACCTCCCCGGCAAACCTGAGATTTCGCATCCCAGCTTTTAGAGCCCTCAAAAGTTGCGTGTGTCAGACCCAACCAGTTCCTATGTTCTAAGCGGGTTTTATTTATTTTCATTTTCTTCTTGTTCTGTAAAGCAACCACAGCCACACAGGAGAGAGGAGAGTCCCAATTCTGCCGGCTGCACACAGGCTGTCTCTCTCCCCAGTGGGCTAGGAGCTCCTTCTTCCTCTTTGTCCTTTCTTCTCGACAGAGTTCAGAAGGAACAGCTGGCTGCCATCTTCAAGCTCATGAAAGACAATAAGGAGACGTTTGGCGAGATGTCCGATGGCGACGTGCAGGAGCAGCTCCGGCTATACGACATGTAGACTGCGCCCATGGGATGCACAGTGGCCATGCCTGACGCTGTCCCCACCCCTGCCCCACCCCCTTGTTCTTTCCAGACTTCTGTAGGCCTAATTTGCCCTTATAAACATAGATGCAGGCGTACATTCTATACGTACTTGCCCAGTTCTTGCAATGTGTATATTACTTTACAGGAATCAAAACTGTTTTCTCGGAGGACAAAGCCCCTGGCCCCTCTGGCTTCTGCTTGCTGGTGAGGTTCCAGCTGTTATGGGGCTCTGAGACCCTCTCCTGATCCAAATCTTTGTTTGTTTGTTTGAGATGGAGTCTCACTCTGTTGCCCAGGCTGGAGTGCAATGGCGTGATCTCAGCTCACTGCAATCTCCACCTCCCAGATTCAGGTGATTCTCCTGCCTCAACCTCCCCAGTAGCTGGGATTACAGGCATGTACCACTACGCCCAGCTAATTTTGTATTTCTAGTAGAGATGGGGTTTCACCATGTTGGCCAGGCTGGTCTCAAACTCTTGAGCTCAGGTGATCCACCCGCCTCAGCCTCCCAAAGTGTTGGGATTACAGGCATGAGTCACTTTGCCCAGCCAATAACTACACTCTTATTCTGCCTTATGAGGATTTCTGGAAGCTTCTGTAATTGTAGGGAAGCAAGCTGTAGGGGAGCATTCTTCCTTTTTTTTTTTTAGAAACAAGGTCTCATTCTGTCACCCAGGCTGGAGTGCCGTGGTGCCATCATGACTCAATGCAGCCTTGACCTCCCAGGCCCACAAAATCCTCCTGCTTCGGCATGAGTAACTGGGACTACAGGTGTGTACCACCACACTCAGCTAAAGAAAAGCGTTCTTTTCTTTTCTTTTTTGAGACAGAGTCTCGCTCTGGTGCCTGGTCACTGCTTGAACGCTTCACCTTCTGGGTTCAAGCGATTCTCCTGCCTCAGCCTTCCTAGTAGCTGGGATTACAGGCATGCGCCACCACACCCAGCAAATTTTTGTATTTTTAGTAGAGACGGAGTTTCACCATGTTGGCCAGGCTGGTCTCGAACTCCTGACCTCAGGTGAGCCACCTGCCTCGGCCTCCCAAAGTGCTAGGATTACAGGTGTGAGCCACTGTGCCCAGCCAGGAGCGCTCTTTTAGCAAAAAGTCTAATTCAGAGACTCACCTTTCATCCTGGCACTAAACAATGGTACTAGAGGTAAGATCTGCCAAGAATTTCTCTCACTTAAGCAGAATACTTACTTTAAATCTAATTAGGCAAGACTTATTTGAGTACTTGCCTAATTATATTTAATTAGAACTATGCTAGACGCTGTAGACAGAAGAAATAAAACACCCCACCTGGTCCTTACCTTTCAGCAGGTTAAAGGCCTTTAGGGAAGAAAAGCCCATGTGCAGGGAAAGAGATGTCACCAGAAAGCATTCAATAAAATGCCAAAGTGATCTTACAGAACAGTGCCTGTGACACCGGAGGGGATTGTTCCGCTTTGTGAGTGAACATACAATGATGGGGATAACTGGTCCTTCACACCATGCAGGTCCCATTTCTGATCACCCCACTGGCAGAACAATTCACAGTTCTTGAGCAAACTGAGTTAGGGAGGGTGTGCTAAAGACAGAACCTATGCAAGTTCTTAGAAATAGTTTTTGTTTGCTGAAATAAAGCTCAATCAACACACTACATGAAAAAAAGTGGAGCAGTGGCATTTCCATGCCTCATGCGCACCATCACGAGGTTAACTTCCCGCCATTGCCTCTTGCCTGCCAGGGGTTTTTCAGAAGCCCCTCTCTGTTCCACCCTTTTGCTTCTTTGCTGACCATTCACTCTCTGTGTCTGTTGTTGGATCCAAATATGAGTGTTTGTCTTTTGTGGTGAATGCTTTTTTCCTTCTTGAAATTGTTTTAATGTGTTTTGTCAAAAGCATTTAACCATGTTATGATTTAAGAATTCTTTGTTCACTTGAGGTCAGGAGTTCAAGACCAGCCTGGCCAACATGGCAAAACCCTGTCTCTACTAAAAATACAAAAATTAGCCCAGCATCCCCTGAACAAATGACCATCTGGAGGAGAAGGTAACTGCATTTCATTGGGGATCTGTGATAAAAGGGAGCATCGGTGTTGGGGAGACACCTGTTCCACCTGAGTTTCCTATGAGGTCCAGGACAGGGCTTGGTGGGCACTCGGAAGCCAGTGTCTGAAGTGCTCAGCATCCTCCTCTTCCTCGGTGGTAGGTGTCTACTGCCCAGGCCCCACCCCTGGCCGTGGACACTTCATGGAAACACTGCTGGTTTGCTATGGTGTTGGGTGGCTCTTGTCTATTCCCCATAAGTGCTGGCCTCTGTTGACACCATTTCTGCCACCTCATCTGAGATTGCTCTCATCAGCTCACAGAGATTCAGTTCAGAGAATGAACCAAATCTAAGCTAAAAAGCATAAAGGAGGGCAGAAAGAAACAGCAGGGTGGGAGAAAGAGCGCACACACCGCGGGAAAGATGTCCACCTGGCAGCCACATCACAGAATCACCAGTATGTACGTCACTGCCACCAAGAACCTAGAACCACAGAGGCCTACAGAAGCCAATCCCAGTGGAACTCTCTCCGGGTGCAGGGGCTGAGAGAACCTAAAACATTCAGGTGGCCAGAGCTTCTTTCCAGAGATGGGAACCAGTCTCAAAGCCTTTGCATCTCTCCCCTGCCCTCCCTCCATCACTCTGCTGAGAACTCTGCCCCGGGCTGGCCTGCTGACATGACACGAATAGCAGTGGCCTGTCACTCATCAGTATCTGCAGTTCTGTTTACCAAAGCCTGCTTGCTAGAGACTTGTCAGGGCCTCCTTCCCTCAAAGTGTCCATTGTACCTCCATCTGGATACAATTAGCTGGCTCCCCACTTCCTGGACTGACGGTAACCACCTTTTCCAACGACCCTGAAGAAAACACACAGTCTAAGCTTCTTTACGAGTAAACCTACAACTGGACAAATTTTCTATCAACCCCCAGTACCCCTCTCTGCTGTGGCTGATTTGTTACTGGTTTTCTTTTTTTTTTTTTCAATTTGAAAACGTAAATAATTATACTAAGACTAGATCACTCTGAGATTGTTTTATTCTAATTTATCCTAAGGACCTGCCTGTACTTAAAGCCTGATACAAAGCCCAAGTTGACCTACTGGGCAGCTCTCTGGGCCTGGAAGGAAGAGCACATGACAAGGCTTCAACAGTACAGCCTGGCTAGGTCCAGGCAGACCATGACTTCTGAAGGCAACAGCATGGTCCACATGGAATCAGGCTGCTGAAGAACAGCAGCGAGAGGCTGCCTCTGAATCACATCTGCAGGGTCACCTGGGCCTGGTGGAGGCCCACAGTCACCCATTACGCCCCAGTATCCTATGTGGGAGTATCCATGTCTAGTCTCTACTTCTCACTGCAGGAGAGGTGGCAGATGAGGAGGTTTCCTACTTTAAAGCAGGTAGAAGTTGTTTCCTTTCTTCCCTCCTCACAGCCTGGAGGGCGAGGTTGTGCCCAGCCTGATAGCAGCTGCCTTGCCCAAGATTACATCCTGTTCTGGGGGCAGCCCACCTCCAAACCAAGTCACTGGTGGGGTACAAAGGCCTGCCTTGTCTGCCAAAAGGACAGTGCTGATGGACCATTCCAGTTCTAGAGTTCCCAAAGAGATGTCTTTTTGGAGAGGGGCAGGGTACCAGAAATCCTTCACTCAGGCTATAGCAGGGCCTCCAGTTACAAGTAACTTGAGTCCCACCCAGCCAAACATGCCTTTCCGGGTCTAGTGCTGGGTTGCAGAACAGGAAACCTGGCAAATTCCTATTGCCACAGATATTTTTTACTATTATTATTGTCACCTTATTTTTCTATTGGTGGAAACCCTCTAGGGCTTCCACCAGATTCTCCACCTTTATGCTATCATTTTTATCAGTTTTGGTTTTATTGTTTCAGTGCTGCTTCTTGCTAACGGTAGCAGCCAATATACATCATCTCTGGCGACAGATCACGCCATAGAAAATACTGTCGTTTTCCTCATTTTTCTTAACGCCACAGAGTCAGCTGGGCTGTAGTACCAGCCCGGATGTACCAGTTTACTCAGCCATTCCCCCTCTCATGGACATCTGCATGGTTTCCAGTCTTGCAAATTTATATAGTGCCGCTACAAATAAAAGCTGGCGTGTATGCTGTTTCATGTTTGTGTAAGTTTACTTTCAGAGTAGATTCTACAGGTGGATTGCGGGTCAAAGGTAAATTTGCACTCCCTCCCAGCAATGCAGGGCAGATCAAGTTCCTGTATTGTCCTTAACAGTGTACTTTGTTAAACTTTTGGATTTTTGACAATCTAATGGATCAGAAGCCTTAGCTCAATGAAGTTTTGTTTCTTTTCTTTTTTTTTTTTTTTGAGACAGAGTCTTGCTCTGTCGCCCAGGCTGGAGTGCAGTGGCCGGATCTCAGCTCACTGCAAGCTCCGCCTCCCGGGTTCCCGCCATTCTCCTGCTTCAGCCTCCCGAGTAGCTGGGACTACAGGCGCCTGCCACCTCGCCCGGCTAATTTCTTGTATTTTTAGTAGAGACGGGGTTTCACTGTGTTAGCCAGGCTGGTCTCGATCTGCTGACCTCGTGATCCGCCCGCCTCGGCCTCCCAAAGTGCTGGGATTACAGGCGTGAGCCACCGCGCCCGGCCTCAGTGAGGTGTTCGTTTGCATTCTTCTGATTATGAAAAAGGCTGAGCGCCCACTTAAATGTTTAGGGGCCCCTTGCATTTTTTTCCTGTAAACTGTCCACTCATGTCTTGTCCCATTAAATACCATCCATCTAATCTCCGCTTTAGCTCACTGAGTTGCGCATATTTCTGACGATCTTGGCGGTAATCTGGGCTCAGCGCGGTAGTTCTCCAACTCTGAGGCTGCACGGGGAGGGAGTGCTTTGACGAAGGTAACTAAAGAGAATCTGAGTCATTCCAGGGAAAGCCTACTAAAATCAGGAGGCTTTGTGAGAGCCAAAATACTAACTTTCAAAAAAACAAAAATACTCCCAAACTTCACCGGCAGCAGCTTTACTTACGTGTTATTTTATCTACGGTGCCCATTTTATCTACGTGGGGACCACCACATGGAGAAAACCACCGACCCGCGAAGTGAACCAATCACAGCCATAGCGCCGGTGTCGCTCTGCGGCATTTCAGTGGTTCAAGCACCTGCCAATCTGCCGCTAAGCCAAAGGCCTTGATTTGTGGCCATTGGGTATCCCATCCTTCCATCTTCCCCACCTCAATCCCACCTCACGCGGAGGGTGGAAAGCCCCGGATGTCCGGCCACACCCAAGGCCGCGTTTCCTCAGTGATTGACAAGGGCCATCGTCCAATGAGGAATGCGGCGCGGCCCGGGCGGCCCTGCAGTAGGCACGCGCCTGGCGCCTGAGCCGTAGAAGTGGTCGGGCGTTTGTGGCCCAGCCTATGCTAAGGCCGGCTTGCTGGGCCACGGCCGGGTGAGCGACCCCCGGGCTGCCTGGGAGCCGGAACCGAGCCGAGCCGAGCACACGTGGACTGGCCGGCAGCTGCCGCTGCTCTGCTCTAGCCGAGAGATTCGCGCCTGCAGCGAATCCCCGGCCGCGTCGAGCTGTGGCCTGGCGTGCGGTGCCTGCCCGAGGCTGGCTCCTGAGTGCCACTCGCGGGACAGGGCCCCGCGTCCCGCATTCGCAAGGTGGGACTAGGGGAGGGTTTTTGTTTTTTTTTCTTTCCCTGCCTCAGGTTTCTTAGTACAAATAACACAGGAGGACCCCACCCCATACAGACGGCAGCCGGGTGGGGGGGGGGGGTCGCTCCAGTCCTCCTGTCCTCACGTTGGCAGACAGAAACATCTACTCCTTAGCCTTTGTAGGGGCCTGGGCACCTTTGGGAGCCTGAGCTGGAACTGAAGCTGGAGCTGCAGCCCGGGCCTTGGTTTGATCCTTGGCCTCGGCCTTTGGCCCGCACAGCCTGAGCCCCTAGGCAAGGCGGGCGCGAGCACGCTTCCCAAGCTTGGAGTGGGCAGTGTTGTGCTTCTTGGCAAAGCGCATGTTCCTCAGGAACTTGGGGTCCACCCCCCTTAAGAGATTCGTATCTTTGTGATCTGGGTTTCTTGATACCATTTCTGTGCCATTTTCGGCACTGGTTGGGTGTGGTGTGGTTCTTAGACTTGGCCATGTTTGCATCTTAAGCGGCGGCTCCCAAAGCGCCTAGAACTGGGAGCTCTTTTTTTTTTTTTTTTTTTTTTTTTTTTTTTTTTTTTGAGACGACGTTGTCTCCCTCTGTCGCCCGGGTTGGAGTGCAGTGGTGCGATCTCGGCTCACTGCAACCTCTGCCAGCGGGTTAAAGCGATTCTTCTACCTCAGCCTCCAGAGTGGCTGGGACTACAGGCGTTCGCCACCACGCCCTGCTAATTTTTGTATTTTTGGTAGAGACAGGGTTTCACCATGTTGGCCAGGCGGGTCTCGAACATCTGACCTCAAGTGATCCGCCAGCCTTGGCCTCCCAAAGTGCTGGGATTACAGGCGTGAGCCACCGTGCCCGGCCTGGGGGAGCATTTCATGAGCTCCGCAAACGGGCTTTGGGCACCAAGCTGGGCCCCGGAATACAAAGATGAGGTGAAACTAGTCCCTGCCCTCTAAGACACCCGTGTCTCCACCTTCCTCCCCCTGACGCTCCCAGGCTTGCCCTCGAGCAGATTCGGAGGGTGGCCCAGGGTTTCAGGGGGTTTCAGATGGTGGTACTGCAGCTGGACCCAAGACACACAGACACACAGACAGACACACACGCACACACACACGCACCCCTTGCTTTTCACATTCCCTATTGTCCCAGGCCTAAGGTAAAAGCCAGCAGTTCTGTACACGCCCAGCTTCACATCTTCAGGTGGGCTGGCAGTCACACCTTCCCTCACCTGTGCTTGCCCTTTCAAGTCCTGCTGCAGGCACCTCAGCTGGGCTTTACCAGAGCAGGCTGAGTGCAGGCTGAGTGCCTGTGAAATGGGTTGGACTTACCATTCGGCCAAGTGATCACATTGTTTCCTTTTCTCCACCCAGTTGTAGCCCCCTGCAGGCTCCACATCCCAGGGGGTGGCCCCACCAAACTGGAATCTTTGGTCCTGATGGTGGCCTGGGTCCTCTACAGGTGAAAATTCCTCAGACCAGAGTTGCTGAACTGTGTTAAATAACTCAGTCTGCAATCAGGGTTTTTGAAAATCTCCCTTTTCTCATTCCTTTAAGTACTTTAATTACTTTGTGGCTCTCGCTAAGATGGGACAGGCTATGCTCACAGACTGTAGACACTCATTTCCTTCAATGGTTCACATTCACCTCGGGACTGCCATAGGTGGTGTCTTTGGTTCTCTTTGTACTCAGCTTCAATGATACTGCAAGTTAAATTTCAGAAGAGGAGGCAGCTGGCAAGGGGAATAAAATTAAGAAAATTGTTCCAGGAAGAAAAGGTTCAATGAAAGAAATGGGAGAAAGGGGGCAAAGCACAGAGGATTCAGATTTGAATATTGAATGGTGTGAATTGGCCCATTTACTCTCAGACATTTATTGAGCCTGTCTTCATGCAAAACACTATGGTAAGTGACATAATGCAGAACGAACTCGACTTGGTTTCTACTTGCAAGGCAAGGTGACAGGAAGGTTGGATAACTTTTTGGAGTGCATGCCAAGTGCCCTGCAGAGCGCTGTGCTGTGTGCCTTGCAAATAAATGTTCTCTCATTAATCTTCACTCCTCTATAAAGGCTGTAACATTCTTTTACAGATGAAGAAAACAAAACTCTAAACATTGAATAAGAATAAAGGAGCAAAAGATCTAAACAGACATTTTCCCAGAAAAGATATACAAATAGCCTATAAGCACATGAAAAGATGCTCAACATGTCAATCAAATGCAAATCAAAAACTGCAACAATGAGACACCACTTTACATCACGAGGATGGCTGTAATAAAAAAGACAGATAATAACAAGTGGTGGAGAAGTGGAGGAATTGGAACCCTCACACTCTTCATGGGAATGTAAAATGGTGCAGCTGCTTTGGAAAACTGGCAGTTTATCCCAATATTAAAGTGATACCAAATGATGCAGCAATTCCATTCTTAGGTGTATACACAAAAGAATATATATGTACTCTTAGGCGTATACCTATGAAAACATTGTACATGGGTGCTTAGAGCAGCATTATTCATGATTTGCCAAAAAGAGGAAATAATAGCTAAAAGATGGCCGGGTTCAGTGGTTCACGCCTGTCATCCCAGCACTTTGGGAGGCCAAGGTGGGCAGATCACCTGAGGTCAGGAGTTCAAGACCAGCCTGGCCAACGTGATGAAACTCCTTCTCTGCTAAAAAAAAAAAAATACAAAAACAAAACCCAAAATAACAGCAACAAAAAACTAGCCAGGCGTGATAGTGTGCCTGTAATCCCAGCTACTGTAGAGACTAAAGCAGGAGAATCACTTGAACCCAGTAGGCAGAGGTTGCAGTGAGCCAAAATTGTGCCACTGCACTCCAACCTGGGTGACAGATGGAGACTCTGTCTCAAAAAATAAAAATAAAAAATAAAAGGTGGAAAGAACATCCATCAACTGGATGCATGGATAAACAAAATGTGATCTATCCACATCATGGAATATTCAACAGTAATAAGGAATGAAGTACTGATACATTCTGTAACATGGATGAACCTAGAAAACATCATGCTGAGTGACAGAAGTCAGACACAAACACCACATAGTGTATGATTCCATATACATGAAATGTCCAGAATAGCCAAATCTATAGAGACAGAAAGTAGATGTATGGTTGCCAGAGGCTGGGGGTGGGGTGGAGGGAAGAGAAGTGCCTGCTAATGGGTACAGGGATAAAAACCCAAAATGTTCTAAAATGATTAGAGTGATGGTTGCACAACTCTGAATGGACAAAAAGCCACTGAATTATATGCTTTAAATAGATTAATTGTATGGTATATGAATTATATCTCAATAAAGCATGTATTTACCTATGTATATACATACATTATAGCATTGAAGATAAAAGATCCCAGTCAGCATGGCACCATAAGCACATATTGTGGTCTCTCCTTGGGACTTTTTCTTTTTGTTTTGAAACAGAATCTCGCTTTGACACCCAGGCTGGACTGCAGTGGTGCAATCTCCCCTCACTGCAACCTCCAC